AATCCCCCCCCCCCGTTCTTAGATGGACCCAGTCTGGACCGGATGCAAACAGCCAGATCACTCACAATCCAGAATTACCCTTTCAAAAAAATGCTGAAAACCAGACTTATACAAAGCAAGCATTTCAGAAAGTGGGAGATGACGAATGCCGTCAGCCATTCCAGATCCAACGGTGACCTAGTTTTCTCGTCACTGCATCCCCCCAGGCATGGAGTTCCATGGTTCCCACAAAACTGATAGTCTGTCTTCTGTCTCAGCGACGCTTTAGATTTATTTGCAACGATAAAGGAACATATTCGAAGGACTGGGAGGGAGGGAGCGGCTGGCAGCATGACAGCTTGGAAACCCAATGAATCAACAGCATTCTGGGGGTGTTTTTATTTTGGTTTGTTTGTTAAAAATAGTTTGGAACCCAATGGGTCTCCAAGCATCGACACCACTGGTGGTACGGGGTTCCGCTGGTGGAGCTCCTGATGGCACCTGGTATTCTGGGCCACTGTGTGACACAGAGTGTTGGAGTGGATGGGCCACTGGCCTGATCCAGCATTGGCTTCTCTTCTGTTCTTATGTTCAGAGATCATAATTGGCAGCTAGATCCAGGTGGGCAGCCGCGTTGGTCTGAAGCAGCAGAGCAAATGTAGAGTCCGGCGGCACCTTTAAGACCAACAAAGGTTTATTTATTCAAGGTATGAGCTTTCGTGTGCACGCACACTTTTTCAAATTTTAAAAAGTGTGCATGCGCAAGAAAGCTCATACCTTGAACCTTTGTTGGTCTTAAAGGTGCCGCTGGACTCTGTAATCGGCAGCTAATGCCTTTGAGCATCTGGGAGACAGCACCTTCCCGATCTGAGATTTGGAATCAGCAAAGAACTCTCCATAGCATGTCAGGGGGCTGGGTGACGGCTGCTTTCGCTAGAGGGGTCTGGCATGGAACCGTTTTCAGACAGGTGGGGAGAGTTTCCAGATTTTGCGGATGTAGTAAAGCTAGCAAATAGGACAGGAACAGAGGGGCATAACCGATGCAGGCACAGTAGCCATACCTCAGCCACCCCCTGAATCCCCCACTAGTTTCTGAGATTTCACTTTAAGAACTACTTGCATCTTTTCAGACCTCACCTCTTCCATCATAAGGACTAGAAACTTGCCTTTTCTTTTTAACAGTGTCTGCAAGAGGCTCAGAAAGCAAAATTCTATCCTAGAGGTCAAATCACCGCCCTTGCACAAATTAATTTTTTTATTTATTTTATTCGACTTCTAAGTTTCTGAGATTTCACTTTAAGAATTACGTGCATCTTTTCAGACCTCACTTCTTCCATCATAAGGACTAGAAGCTTGCCTTTTCTTTTTAACCGTGTCTGCAAGAGGCTCAGAAAGCAACATTCTATCCTGGAGGTCAAATCGCCGCCCTTGCACAAATTTATTTCTTTATTTATTTATTTTATTCTACTTCTATCCCGCCCTCTCCGCATGGCAGGCTCAGGGCGGGTTACATCAAATTGGCTAAATATGCAATACACACAATTAACACAATTAAAACACCAGTAAAATACCACAATAACCTTTATCCGGTGCCGTTGTCATTGACATTAAAACCTCACAGATGCCGACTCTGGTATGCAGTTCTGAGTCCAATGTTCCCTCTAAGCTGTGGAGTCTTGTGAGCAGAAATTCTACTTTGTGAGCTACTGGCATTAAAGCTGTGAGCGAGCAATTTGGCTCCTGCATAAATTAGTCTGCTTGGGAGCCAACCTTCCTGTGCTAAGATAAAAAAATGTGTGAGCCGGAGGCTAAAAAACTGTGAGCTAGCTCACACTAACTCAGCTTGGAGGGAACACTGGTTCTGACCCCCAGAAATGTGCCCTGTCAACAGTTAATCCATTGACTTTTAGGTGTGATATATTTTTGGAACCGGGGGTGGGGGGCAATGTTCCCTCTAAGCTATGGAGTCCTGTGAGCAAAAATTCTGCTTTGTGAGCTACTGGCATTAAAGTTGTGAGCAGGAGCTTTGGCTGCTGCATAAATTAGTTTGCTCTGGAGCCATCCCTTCCTGAGCTAAGACAAATATGTGTGAGCCAGAGGGTAAAAGACTGTGAGCTAGCTCACACTAACTCAGCTTAGAGGGAACACTGGTGGTGGGGTAGATTTGCAGCTCACCTCCATCAGAGTCTCCTCCGGTAACTCAGGTGCCTCAAAAGTGACTGTTCCTTCCAGGTTGGCCGTGATCGGGTCCGCAAACGTGTATCTGAACCCCGACGGGGCTTCCAACACGTCGACGCCAGCTCCCACGACTAAGTGCCGCCCACTGAAAGATCCTCCAGAACTTAAGGAGCTAGACGATCCCACTAAACAGTCAAAATATTTAAAAAGTTACCAGTATGCTAATGCCCACACAAGCAAAGCTGAAACGCGACCAGGCTGAAAAACACCAACCTCTTCCTTCCTATCTCACCCCCACCATCCCGTTTTTAATGTACCAAACATCGATTACAAATCCGACCTGGTTTAATTATAGCAGTTTAAATCCTCAGTTGACTAATTCCTCTTAAAAAGGAAGGAGCGAACAGAAACAGCCTCGTTTATAGTTAATCAGACCATTTCAACTGCTCTGGTGTGAACAGAGTTCCGTGTGATTAGGGACTTCCCCGTTCAGTGCGTGGAGTTTTCCCAGAGAGTAAAACAAGCAGTCTTGAAAGGTGTTCTGGGTGCCCTACAGCCCTGCAGGGCTTTGAACAGCGCCAGAATTATTGAAGCCTCCTTCGGTCTCGAAATTCAGATTTCAAGTCGCATTAAGTGTTTTATGTCTGCGCTCCAAAGTCATGGACTAAATGGCTGATCTGTAAAAGGACGCTTTATGTACAGTTCCACTTACGGCATTGTGCCTGCCGGGTAGCTCGTACTATACCCCCACCCACGCATACATGTAGTGTTGACTACACTGGTTTTTCTACTTCTACAGCAACACAGAACGCCCCCCCCCCCACCCTGCATTGAAGGATGGAAAGTAACAAAGGCCATGGCATTAAGGAGAGGGTTACCTGAAAACATTCTGGCCCTGGTGGTTTGTGGCGGCGTTGTCCCACTGGGAGGGGATCCAACTGTGAAGATCACTGGGGAGGGGCTGGCTGAGCCCCCGTCCCTGGCTCTGGAGTTTAAGTTCCCTCCACAGGTGGCTGACGGAGCTGCAGGAGGAAGAGCAAAGAGATGGGGAGGAAAGATAATAAACACAGGCAGATAAAATTAAGAAGAAGAAGAAGAGACTGGATTTATACCCCGCCTTTCACTACCCGAAGGCTTACAATCTCCTTTCCCTTCCCCTCCCCACAACAGACACCCCGTGAGGTAGGTGGGGCTGAGAGAGCTCTCTTGAGAACTGCCCTTGAGAGAACAGCTCTGAGAGAACTTGTGAATGATCCAAGGTCACACCAGCAGCTGCACGCGGAGGAG